AAGCTTCCTTTTGCCCCATCCGAATTAGAGATGGTTGCAGTCCAGGGGCTTTGCCCCATGAACATCTCCAAGAAAGAATTGGCCAGCGAGAAGGGGCGAGAGTGTCCACTAGAGTGGGGAAAGGGGATCTGTCTGCCTCAGCAGGGCTCCTCCAGCCCCCCACTGCCTAAACCTCTGCAATCCTTTCTATGCCTCTGACGGGGAGAGAGACCTCCTCCTGGGATCCGTCCCTCCCTGCTGTGCAGGTGGGAGGGGGGTTGCGCTGACCTGTCTGGGGCAGCCTCTAAGTGGTTCATTAATGTGCTAAATTGGCAGGAAATGGAGAGCACTGGGGGGGGGTCTGCCTGTCAATCCAAGTGAGATGGATGCTGCTGGCAGTGCGGGGGTGGGGCAGGCCTGGCTTAAGTGGGGGCCCAGCTGCTGGTCTGCATTCTGCAGCCCCTGGGGCTGAGGGGGCCAAGCACCCCCCCCACACACACACACATTGAGTAGGATAAGTGGATTTAGTGGCTGGTCCTGGCTGGCCTGCCAGAGATACGCTGGGGAGGCACCCTTGGGCACAGCCTGTGACAGCAGATGCCAGCTCAGATGCCGCTTCTGTCCTTGCCAGTCCGGCCCTCCCCCACCTCCATCCTTGCTCCTCTCTGCTTCACCTCCCAAATATTTGTCATCCACAGTCTGTTGGCTGTAATGAGGCAGCTGCTTTGGGTTCAGACAAGCAGGGACTGGCTGTAGGGTTGCCAGGTCTGGGTTGGAAAATACCTGGAGACTTTGGGGGTGGATCCAGGAGAGGGTGTGGTTTGGGGAGGGGCCTCAGCATCATACAATGCCATAGAGTCCACCCTCCAAAGCAGCAACTCTTCTTCAGGGGAGCTGATCTCTGTCAGCTGGAGATCAGTTGTCAAAGCGGGAGGTCTCCAGGCCCCACCAGGAGGCTGGCAACCCTAACTGGCTGACCAGGGCAGTGGGATGGGGCGGGAGTCCTGCAGGTGAGGAACAGAGCTTGTGACTCCCTGCCCAGACCGGCAGGGTGAGAAGCTGTCTCGCTCCACTGCTCTAGGGTGTGTGTGTGTATGTTTTTGCTGTCAGGTCGCACTTGGCTTATGGCAACCCTGCTGGGGTTTTTAAGGCAAGGGAAATTCAGAGGTGGCTTGCCCGTCACCTGCCTCTGCTCAGAAACCCTGGGCTTCCTGAGTGGTCTCCCGTCCAAGTACTGACCAGGGCCGATCTTGCTTTGCTTCCGAGATCTGATGTGATTGGGCTATCCGGGGCTATATCCAGGTCATCGTGGCTCTACCGACTTGCAGTGAGTCACTCTGCCAAAAGAAACAACTTAATGGTTCGTGTCTTCAGGGGCTTGTTTTGTAACATAACAACTTAGTTCATCACGAAGAGTCCAGAATAGAACTTGGAACTCTGTCAGGGCAAGATTCTGCCTTTCAAGTTCAGTTCCAAACTCAGGGCCATTTTCCGGGTGGGGGGCAGAATGCAGTGCAGTGGATTCTTCCTTGGAACCCCTGGGGTGTCGCTGTGAAAGGCAGTTTGCTCGTTCCGACTGGTGCTCCGTGAACCCAGCAGAATGTCTGAATAGTAGACTGCAAGATAGGTACCAAGAGCGCATTGCTTTCCTAGTGGAGTAGAGGAACATTAAAAATATGCTGACATGAGTGAGTACTTTGGAAAGCTAATGGCTTTGTTTGTGGCACATGGTCAGGAGCCTACTGTCATGCATTGGATGAACTTGGCTCTTTTCTACAGAGGCTGAAGTCACCATAGAAGCGATGGCCTTTTAACAGTCCTCTGTTTCTGTTCTGTCATAGGCGCATGGTTCCCTAGGATGGTTGGCTAAGCCACAGCCCACATCTGCAGGTAGCTTTTACATTGTGCATAGGGACAACAGAAGGGGTGTGTTTGTGTTGAGGAGGGGGTGATGCCTGACTCCTCCCTGGAAACCAGAGAGAAAGCAGGTGTTTGATGGATCTGGAGAAGGAAGTAGGCCTTGGAGAGGAAAGAAGTGGAGGACCCGGCTGGGGTGCTTACGGGAGGGAGCCCCTTCTCACTTCCGGTCAGCTTGGACCGAGGTGGAGACGTTGCTGTTGATGCTTAAGGGGGCGGCAGGTAGTTCTTTGGCCTTAGGACAGGAGCAGTGCTTCCTCTAAGCTGTGGAGTCTGGTGAGCAAGAATTCCACTTGGTGAGCCACTGGCATGAAAGTGGTGAGCCAGTGATTTGGCTCCTGCATAAATTAGTTTGCTCTGGAGCCGTCCTTCCTGAGCAGAGACAACACTGTGTGAGCCGGAGGCTAAAAAACTGTGAGCTAGCTCATGCCAACTCAGCTTAGAGGGGACACAGGACAGAAGGTGTTTTCAGCCTGGGCCAGTCTGTGGCATGCTCTGTGACGATGAGGAGGAAGTGGGCTCTGTGTGACCTATGCGGGGGCTCCTGCTGGGCCAGCAAATGCCTGGAGTGGGTCTTGGAGAGGACAGGACTTTGCAAAGACTTCCTGCTGGCTGCCCTCCCTCTCCTGATGGGTGTCTGCCGTGCCCTCCCTCCCTCCCTCCTTCCCTCTGCCTGCTCTGTGGCCCCAGGGGACAGGGGCCGGGCCCCTTTTGGCAGGATTGGACCTTTGCGGCCCTGCCCGGTGGACTCTGGGCCCTGGCTGGGCTTTGGGTGGGTTAACATGGCCTGATTGGCATCCCGGGGGGAGGGGGGAGTCCGCATGTTGGTGACGTTGTTTTCCTCTTGCAGAGCTCCCGCTGACCTTGACGCCTTCGGCTGAAGCACAGGTAGGCCACTGAAGGGGTGAGGGGTGAGAGCAGAATGGCCCCTGCATCACCTGCCCTCTAGGGTCGCCAGGTCCCCCCTGGCCACCGGCAAGGGGTGGGAGCAGGTAGGGGTGCCAGAGATCCAGGTCAGGAATCTGTTTAGGAGACTTGGGGGCAGAGCCTGGGGAGGGCAGTGGGGTGCAAGGGCACAGAGCCCGCCCCCCAAATCATCAGTTTTCTCTCCGGGGAACTGATCTCTATCATCTGGGCACGAGCTGTAATTCCAGGGGATCCCCAGGTCCCACCTGGAGGCTGGCATCCCTACCTGCCAATTCTCTAGACTTCGTTTAAAAAAAATCCAACCATTTCAGCCAGAACGCCCCCCCCCCTTTGAAGGTCTTCCTTAGAAACCCCGGAAAGAGACTTTCCTCTTTCCTCTTCTCAGCCAATCAGGTGGTGGCAGAGCTTTATGGGATTAGTGGACAAGAGCAGAGAGCTTCTACCTGTCCTGAACGGGAGCAGCCCAAGCCCTCGTGGACCCCTGCGATGGCTCAGCATGACTTTCTCTGGACGCACAGCACCCCCACCCCCAGCGGGTCTTTGCCTGAAACAGTCACTGAATGGCCTGGCTTCAATCAAGGCTCCCTCTAAGCTGCGGAGTCTTGTGAGCAAAAATTCCACTTGGTGAGCCACTGGCATTGTAGCTGTGAGCGAGCCATTGGGCTGCTGCATCAATTAGTCTGCTCTGGAGCCCTCCTTCCTGAGCGAAGGCAAAAATGTGCGAGCCAGAGGCTAAAATATGGTGAGCAAGCTCACACTCACTCAGCTTAGAGGGAACACTAGCCTCAGTGTCTTTCTTCCAGGTGGAACCCGGCCGGGGTCGGCAGTCTACCAGTGGGTAATTCTCAAATGCTCTGGCTCCTCATTTTACCAGGAGGTATTGCATATAGTCCTCCCTGGCTGACTGCCAGATGAAGCAGCAATATTGCAGTTGGGGGGGGGAGGGTGTTGTGAGCTCCCTGCTTCTTCCCACAGGTCTGGGACGGCTGAGAACCAGGCAGAGCGGGACGGTTGGCACAGCCCGTTGGCAGGTGCTGCTGTGCCACCCTTGTTTAGCCAGTTCTGGGATCTGATCAAGAGCAAAGATCAGGTCTTCTGATAGCCCCCCCCCCAGCCCCCCGTTTGGCCTGAGATCCACATCTGTGTTTTCCCCCTACGGATCCATCCCCCCCCCCACTTTCCCCCAGGCCGAGGAGGCGAGGGAACAGAGCCGCTTCTGTGTCTGTCTGGAGGCCCTTCCTGGCCTGTCTGCTTCACTCTATTCCCTGGGGAGGGGCTCGTGTTCTCCTCGGCCTCCAGATAATGGAGCCGCAGTGCAAGCGGGAGGGAGGGGCGCAAGAGCCCCCCCCCCCATGGCTCCGGGAGGAGCCGGGGTTTCATGGCTGCTTTTCAGCCTGGGGTTTTTCCAGGGGGGCCAGCCACGGTTACAACCGCAAAAGCATCAATATAAATGTGAAGATAGTAATGCTGCAGTGCTGAAATAATCAATAATAAAGTTTAAGAAGTGATTTTGTTGTTGTTGTTTTAAATAAGTACTGAGAACCCAGCAGAGGGCACAAACTCCAATTAGCAGTATATAACTCAAAGACTGCTGGAGCGAGAACAGAAGTTGGAGTTGTCCTCCTCAGTGGGTGAGCACACACTGATCTGGCCAGTTTCTTTCTGGACGACGTGGTGCCAGAACTGGAGCCGCCACCGGGAGTGCCACAGTGGGAGAAGGCTGGCCCTCCGAGTGTGGTGCCGGTGGTGTGTGTGTGCCAGTCTCCTGTACACTCTGCTTTAAGAACATAAGAACATAAGAGACGCCAATGTTGGATCAGGCCAAAGGCCCATCCAGTCCAACACTCTGTGTCACACAGCGGCCAGAAATACCATGTGCCCTCAGGAGGTCCAGCAGTGGGGCCGGGACACTAGAAGCCCCTCCCACTGTTGACCCCCCCCCCCAACACTCCAATCAAACTCCTAGATCAGGGAGAATTTTCCCGGGCTTCTTACATCTAACAAGCATTGGCTACATGAAACACATGTGACTTCCTGTGAGCAACACAAACAATCATTTAACCCCAGATACACTGAGTGTAATTTTAACTTGTAATACCCAACAGCTGGCCCTCCGAGTGTGGTGCCGGTGGAGTGTGTGTGCCAGTCTCCTGTACACTCTGCTTTCCGGCTTGCAGATGGTGCAGTCTCTGGGCTTCGCCATCTACCGAGCGCTGGATTGGGGCCTGGATGAGAACGAGGAGCGAGAGCTGAGCCCCCAGCTGGAGCACCTCATCGACCTGATGGCCAACAGCGACTCCGAGGACAGCGGCTGCGGAACGGCCGACGAGGGCTACGAGGGGCAGGAGGAAGAGGAGGAGGCGGTGGAGGGGGGCCACCTGCGAGCGGTGCGCACCTTCAGCCAAGCCATGCGGCTCTGTGCGGCGCGCCTCACCCACCCCCAGGAGGCCCAAGCCCACTACCAGGCGGTCTGCAGGGCCCTCTTCCTGGAGACAGTGGAGCTGAAGGCCTTTCTGGCCAAGATCCGTGAGGCCAAGGAGGTGAGTGCTGCCCGGCCACGTTGCTCCTGGCTTGTCCCCATCTGGGGGGAAGCCTCCTCTGCTGTCTTTGCTCCCCAGGAGGGGTTGAGCCACAGGAGTGGAGGAGACCCTTGGAGCAGCATGGTTGCAGGCTTGGGGGGGGAGCCATCCATCGGCCGGGGGGGGGGCTCCCTGCAGCGGCTGCTACTTCTGTCACTAAAGAGGCAGCGTTCTGCATCCTGTGTCTGTCTGCCAGGCCGCCCAGCCGCCAAGGGCAGGCCTTGGGGGCCACTGCAAAATGGAGGTGCCAGGGCATCCTTTGGGATTGGCAGGTGGTTGATCCAGGCAGGGAAGAAAGCGGTGCAGTGACTGCTGTAATGGGTTGCAGAACAGGCCTCTGGCTGTGGGACCAAAATGAATTCCCCCCTCTGCTGCTGCCCAGAGGATAAACGTTGTTTATTGCTCAGCCTCCTGTCTCGCCAGCAAGGCAGATCCTGACAGCTTGGAGCAGGCCTTGTGGAGGGGGTGGGGGGGTCGATGCCCAGCGATTGTGCCACAAGGCCTGCAAAATGCCCAGCAGGGAGCTCGCTCTGCTGGAGCAAATAGCCCGATGCTCACTGAATGCTGATCTGGCAACAGCTTGCAATGCTTCTGGGCAATGCATTGGGCCTGGACCCTGGCAGGCCTCCAAGAGACGGCCGTCCTTCCTCTGACTGCAGTGGAGCTGCAGGGAGGGCGCCTCATGGCCTGCCCCTGGTGGCTGGATCTGGATGCAGGCCAGATGTTTGTGTGCCAGGAGCAGGGTGTGTGCGTGTGGGGGGGGGAGCTGAGCAGTTGCTTCTCCTCTCTAGCGGCAGCCAGCCTGGGGGGGGTAGCCCTGACCAATGCTCCCTCTAAGCTGTGGAGTCTTGTGAGCAAAAGTTCCACTTTGGGAGCTCCTGGCACTGAAGTTGTGAGTGAGCAATTTTGGCTACTGCATACATTAGTCTGCTCTGGAGCCCCATCCTTCCTGGGCTAAGACAAAAAATGTGTGAGCCAGAGGCTAACGAACTGTGAGTTAGCTCACTCTAACTCAGCTTAGAGGGAACACT